AAAGACATCGACGGGAAGCGGAAACCCAATCCTAAACACGAAGCCAGAAATACAATTCTCCCCTTGTTCAAAATTTTCCCTTTGTATTGATAGTCATGGGAAGATAAAGTTTAATGTTCTCACTGCAAATGTAAAATCAACGTTTCTCTCAATCGGTTTAGCGATTCTGTAAATGCCTTCCAGTAAAACCTTTTAAAACAATTGCACTATTAATAAATGCTTATTCCTATTCTACTTTCTCTGTTTCGAGCGTTTCCTAATCAACGATATTAATTCCCTTAACGACCCGGACGCATAGTTTCAGTATCAACTAAATAAATTCATATTAGTCGGAAACAATATTTGATTCACTTATCGATCAACAATTACCAGGCCAAGTGTACACGGTTTATCGATCTCAGAAATAGAGTTAGAGGCTCAATAATCAAATTCACAATCCAGTTGATTATAAAAGTCCAGATTCAGTTTGCCTGCAGCCTATTCGTATGGAACACAAGGTCGACTACCAGAGAGCGATAGTTAACCAGTTTGGCATGCTAGACATTGCCATTGAGTCTAATCCATAACTAAATGTAATGTTAGAAACGATTGTTAGGGAATGTTGGGCTTAGAGATTGAGTGAATTTGACGAAAGAGATAAAAATACGAAACAGAGATAGGTTAAGAGAAATAAAATGGTTAAAAATCGAAAGGTAATGAAATGACAAAAAATAGATTCAAAAAAGGATAAGAGCGAGAAAGAAATGCAATGAAGTGGACGATATAAACTACAGTGTGATTGAAAAGTAACTCCCTATTTTAGTATGATGGCCTCTCCCGTCTTGTAAAAATTATCGTTAGACGGGAGAGGCCATCATACAGGAAATAGGGAGTTACGTTCCAATCACCCTGTAAAAGGGAAGGATAAAAACGATCAGAAAATAGTGAAAAAGAGAATGAAAGACGAGAACGATGGATGAAAAGAGACTGAATGGATAAGAGAGATAGGAATGGAAAGAGAGGAAGACAATGATAGAAAATGAAAGGGAAGAGTAAGACATGAACAGAGAAAAGGATAAAGAAAGAGTATAAAAATATAGAAAAAGGGACATAGAATTAATTAAGAAAGAAAGGAGGAGAGAGAGAGAGAAAGAGAGAGGGAGTAAAAAAACACAATGAAGTGAGGATAGAAAAGAGAGAGAAGGGATAAAACAGATGTGAATAGCAAGACACAGAGAGAGAGAGAGAAAAAGACGAGACTTTCAGGAAAGATGCGAAAAGGAGATTAGCTTAAGAGACGGTAAGAGAAATGCCAAGAAGTGAAGGAAAGGAAAGGAAAGGATACGAGCTGAAGAGACGGTAAAAGAAATGCAAAGAAGTGAAAGATAGAAAGGGATCTATAAATGATAATACCTGAAGAAATCGAAGGTAAAATGCAAAGAAGTGAATAAAAGGAAAGGAAAGGATACGAGCTGAAGTAACGGTAAATGAAATACAAAGAAGTGAAAGATAAAAATGGATCTATAAATGATAATACCTGAAGAAATCGAAGGTAAAATACAAAGTAGAGAATGAAAGGAGAGGATACGAGTTGAAGAGACGGTAAAAGAAATGCAAAGAAGTGAAAGATAAAAAGGGATCTATAAATGATAATACCTGAAGAAATCGAAGGTAAAATGCAAAGTAGTGAATGAAAGGAAAGGAAAGGATACGAGCTGAAGAGACTTTAAAAGAAATGCAAAGAAGTGAAAGATAAAAATGGATCTATAAATGATAATACCTGAAGAAATCGAAGGTAAAATGCAAAGTAGTGAATGAAAGGAGAGGATACGAGCAGAAGTAACGGTAAAAGAAATACAAAGAAGTGAAAGATAAAAAGGGATCTATAAATGATAATACCTGAAGAAACGAAAAAGGTAAAATACAAAGTAGAGAATGAAAAAGGAGAGGACATCGAGTTATGAAGAGACGGTATAAAGAAACACAAAGAAGTGAAAGATGTAAAAAGGGACACTATAAATGATAATACCTGGAAGAAATCGAAGGTAAAATGCAAAGTAGTGTGAATGAAAGGAGAGGATACGAGCAAGTAACAGTAAAAAAGAAACTAAAAGAAATTATGAAAGATAAAGGGATCTATAAATGATAATACCTGAAGAAATCGAAAGGTAAATGCAAGTAGTGAATGAAAGGAGGATACGACAGAAGTAACAGTAAAAAGAAATACAAAAAGAAGTGGAAAGTATATTCAATAAAGTAAACACATCTAAAAGCAGGACAATTGCTACTGAGTTAACTCGTAAACCTGATCACGGCAAATTTAGAAATGCAAATTGGTGCGATATTCAAAGGAACACATCATAAACTTATGACACTATTTGACAAATTTTCAAAAACGAAAAATCACATGATCACAGCAGCGTAGAAATTAATTGGAAAGTATATTCAATGAAACACATCATAAACTTATGACAATTGCCTGAGTTAACTCACCTGTCTTCGTGTAAAAGAAAAAGGTCACATTCGTGAGAGCTTACATACGATTTATGACAATTTACTTTGGGTTATCTAGAAAACGAAAAGGTCACATGATAGCCAAAAGTGTAGAAATTGAACAGTAAGTTAAGGAAACTACATCTGTAAACTTATGACAATTAATTTCTGAGTTAACCCTCTGTCTTCGTGCAAACGAAAAAAAAAACATGATCATGGAAATTGTAGAAATCGAAGGTAAATTGGAAAGTATATTCAATGAAACACATCATTGACTTATGACAATTTACTTCTGGTTAACTCACCTGTCTAGTGCAAACGAAAAAAGGTCCACATGATCACAACAAAAGTGTAGAAATCGAAAAGTAAATTGGAAAGTATATTCAATAAGGAAACACATCATAAACTTATGACAATTTACTTCTGAGACAAAATCACTGTCTTCTTCATTACCAAGCTTGAAAAAGGTCACATAAGTCACGGCAAATTGTAAAATCGAACAGTAAATTGGAAATTATATTCAATAAGAAACGCATCATAAACTTACGACAATTTACTTCTGAGTTAACTCACCTGTCTTCATTGCAAAAAAAAAGGTCCAGCAAAGTGTGAAGGTGTAGAAATCCAGTTGGAAAGTATATTCAATAAAAACGCATCATAAACTTACGACAATTTACTTCTGAGTTAACTCACCTGCTCTTCGTACCGACGAAAAGGTCATGATCATGACAAATTGTACCGTCGAAGGTAAATTGGAAAAGTATATTCAATAAAGAAGACATCATAAACTTATGACAATTTACTTTAAGGTTAACTCACCTGTCTTCGTGCAAACGAAAAAAGGTCCCATAAGTCACGGCAAATTGAAATCGAAAATGAAATTGGAAAGTATATTCAATAAACATCATAAACTTATGACAAACTTATGGTTAATTTGTCTTCGTGTAAACGAGTTATGATCACGGCAATGTTGAAATCCGAAGGTAAGTGGAATGTATATTCAACGAAACATCATGATCTTATGCCAATTTACTTCTGAGTTAAACCTGTCTTCGTGCAAACGAAAAAAGGTAAATTGGCAAAATATATTCAATAAAGGAATATTCAACAGGTTTGTCATAAACTTATGACAATTTACTTCTGAAGTTAACTCCTGTCTTCGATATGAAACAAAGAAAAAAGGTCACACCAATCTACGACAAATTTTTGAAATCGAAAAAGTAAATTGGAAAATATATTCAATAAGGAAACACATCATAAACTTATGACAATTTACTTCTGAGTTACCTCCCTGACTTCGTGCAAACGAAAAAAGGTCACATGATCATGACAAAGTGTAGAAATCGGACAGCAAATTGGAAAGTATATTTAATAAAGAAACATATCATAAACTCAAGCAATTTACTTTCCAGAGTTAACTCTCTGTCTTTGCAAAACGAAAAAAGGTCCATGATCACGGCAAAATTAGAAATCGAACAGTAAATTGGGAAAGTATATTCAATAAGAAAACACAACATAAACTTATGACAATTTACTTCTGAGTTAACTCCTCTGTCTTCGTGTAAAACGAAAGGTCACATGATCACAACCAAAGTGTTGAAATCGAAAGGTAAATTGGAAAGTATATTCAATAAGGAAACACATCATAAACTTATGACAATTTTAGCTACAAGTTAACTCACCTGTCTTCGTGTAAACGAAAAAGGGTTGGATGATCACAGCAAATTGTTGAAGGAAACAGTAAATTTGAATATATTCAATGAGAAGCACATCTTAAACTTATGACAATTTACTTCTGGGTTAACTCCCTGTCTTCGTGCAAACGAAAAAAAATGATCACAACAAAAGTGTAGAAATCAACGGTAAATTGGAAAGTATATTCAATAAGGAAACACATCATAAACTTATGACAATTTACTTCTGAGTTAACTCACCTGTCTTCGTGTAAACGAAAAATGGTCACAAATTGTAGAAATCAGACGGCAAATATGTTCAATAAAGAAATCTTAAAGGACAATTTAAATTGGAAGGATAATATTCAATAAGGAAAGGTCACATCATTTAAACTTCAATGACAATTTACTTCTGAGTTAACTCCCTGTCTTCATGCAAACGAAAAGGTCACATGATCACGGCAAATATTAGAAATCGAACGGTAAATTGGAAAGTATATTCAATAAAGGAAACACATCATAAACTTATGACAATTTACTTCTGAGTTAACTCCTCTGTCTTCGTGCAAACGAAAAAAGGTCACATGATCACGGCAAATTATTTGAAATCGAAAAGTAAATTGGAAAGTATATTCAATAAGAAAAACATCATAAACTTATGACAATTTACTTCTGAGGTTAACTCCTCTGTCTTCGTGTACAAACGAAAAAGGTCACATGATCATGGCAAAGTGTTTGAAATTGAACAGTAAATTGGAAAGTATATTCAATAAGGAAACATCATAAACTTATGACAATTTACTTCTGAGTTAACTCCCTCTGTCTTCGTGCAAACGAAAAAGGTCACATGATCATGGCAAATTGTTGAAATCGAAAGGTAAAGTGGAAAAGTATATTCAATAAGAAACACATCATAAACTTATGACCAATTTACTTCTGAGTTAACTCACCTGTCTTCGTGTAAACGAAAAAAGGTCACATGATCACGGCAAAGTGTTGAAATCGAAAAAAGTAAATTGGAAAGTATATTCACTTAGTTAACTCACCTGTGAAAACACATCATAAAGTGTATGACAATTTTATTCAATGAGCACATTAAACTTATGACAATTTACTTCATAAATTGTCTTCTGTCTGCAAACGAAAAAGGTCACATGATCACGGCAAATTGTAGAAATCGAAAAGTAAATTGGAAAGTATATTCAATAAGGAAACACATCATAAACTTATGACAATTTTACTTCTGTTAACTCACCTGTCTTCATTACCAAACGAAAAAGGTCACATGATCATGGCAAATTGTAGAAATCGAAAACAGTAAATTGGAAAGTATATTCAATAATAAAACACATCATAAACTTATGACAATTTACTTAACTGAGTTAACTCACATGTCTTCGTGTAAAAACGAAAAAGGTCACATGATCTTCTTGAGGCAAATTGTGAAAAATCGTCAGTGAAATTGGAAAGTATATTCAATAAGAAACACATCATAAACTGACAATTTATGACAATTCCCTGTCATTCGTGCAAACGAAGTTAACTCACTGGCTGTCTTCGTGCAAACGAAAAGGCATCATAAACTTATGATCACAGCAAATTGTCTTCGTGTAAACGAAAAAATCATGAACATGGCAAATTGGAAAGTAAATATTTCAATAAGGAAACACATCATAAACTTATGACAATTTACTTCTGAGTTAACTCCTCTGTCTTTCGTGCAAACGAAAAAGGTCACATGATCACGGCAAATTGTAGAAATCGAACAGTAAATTGGAAAGTATATTCAATAAGGAAACACATCATAAACTTATGACAATTTACTTCTGAGTTACTCTCACCTGTCTTCGTGCAAACGAAAAGGTCACATGATCACAACAAAGGTAGAAATCGAACAGTAAATTGGAAAGTATATTCAGAAAAGGAAACACATCATAAACTTGTTGACAATTTACTTCTAAATTAACTCACCTGTCTTCCCTTGCAAAACGAAAAAGGTCCACATGATCACGGCAAATTGTAGAAATCGAACAGTAAATTGGAAAGTATATTCAATAACGAAACACATCATAAACTTATGACAATTTACTTCTGAGTTAACTCACCTGTCTTCGATGCAAACGAAAAGGTCACATGATCAATTGCAAAGTGTAGAAATTGAACAGTAAGTTGGAAAGTATATTCAATAAAGGAAACACATCATAAACTTATGACAATTTACTTCTGAGTTAACTCACCTGTGTCTTCTGAAAAGGTCACATGATCAAACGAAAAAGGTCACATGATCACGGAAACACATCATAAACTTATACAATTTACTTCTGTTAACAGTAAATTGGCAAATTATATTCAATAAAAGGTATATTCATTCAAAACACATCATAAACTTATGACAATTTGCTTCTGAGTTAACTCACCTGTCTTCGTACAAAACGAAAAAGGTCACATGATCACGGCAAAGTGTAGAAATTGAACAGTAAGTTGGAAAGTATATTCAATAAGAAACACATCATAAACTTATGACAATTTACTTTGAGTTAACTCACCTGTCTTCGTGCAAACGAAAAAGGTCACATGATCACGGCAAATTGTAGAAATCGAAAGGTAAATTGGAAAGTATATTCAATAAGGAAACACATCATAAACTTATGACAATTTACTTCTGGAGTTAACTCACCTGTCTTCGTGCAAACGAAAAGGTCACATGATCACAGCAAAGTGTAGAAATTGGACAGCAAGTTGGAAAGTATATTTGAAACACATCATAAAATGACAATTTATATTCACCAAAGAAAAAACACATCATTTCGGCAAATTGTAGAAACGAGTAAATTTAGATTCAATAAGGAACACATCATAAATTTATACAATTTCCTCTGTTGAGTTAACTCACCTGTCTTCGTGCAAACGAAAAGGTCCATGATCACAGCAAGTGTAGAAATCGAACAAAAATTGGAAAGTATATTGAATAAGGAAACACATCATAAACTTATGACAATTTACTTCTGAGTTAACTCACCTGTCTTTTGTGCAAACGAAAAAGGTCACATGATCATGGCAAATTGTGTAGAAATCGAACAGTAAATTGGAAAGTATATTCAATAAGGAAACACATCATAAACTTATGACAATTTTCTGTGCAAACTATCAATTTACAAATGAGTTAACTCACCTGTCTTCGTGCAAACGAAAAAAGGTCACATGATCACGGCAAAGTGTAGAAATCGAACAGTAAATTGGAAAGTATATTCAATAAGGAAACACATCATAAACTTATGACAATTTACTTCTGAGTTAACTCACCTGTCTTCATTGCAAACGAAAAAAGGTCACATGATCACGGCAAATTGTAGAAATCGAACAGTAAATTGGAAAGTATATTCAATAAGGAAACACATCATAAACTTATGAAAAAATTTACTTCCAGCAAATTGTTAAATCCTCTGTATGTTCTTCGTGATTTAAAACGTTAAAAAGGTGCAAACGAAAAGGTCACATGATCACAACAAAGTGTAGAAATTGAACAGTAAATTGGAAAATATATTCAATAAGGAAACACATCATAAACTTATGACAATTTACTTCTGAGTTAACTCACCTGTCTTCGTGCAAACGAAAAAGGTCACATGATCACGGCAAATTGTAGAAATTGAACAGTAAGTTGGAAAGTATATTCAATAAGGAAACACATCATAAACTTATGACAATTTACTTCTGAGTTAACTCACCTGTCTTCGTGCAAACGAAAAAGGTCACATGATCACGGCAAAGTGTAGAAATTGAACAGTAAATTGGAAAGTATATTCAATAAGGAAACACATCATAAACTTATGACAATTTACTTCTGAGTTAACTCACCTGTCTTCGTGCAAACGAAAAAGGTCACATGATCACGCAAAAATTGTAGAAATTGAACAGTAAATTGGAAAGTATATTCAATAAGGAAACACATCATAAACTTATGACAATTTACTTCTGAGTTAACTCACCTGTCTTCGTGCAAACGAAAAAAGGTCACATGATCACGGCAAATTGTAGAAATCGAACA